AATTTTGAACAAAACCCAACCACATAAACTGTATGCTTTGAATAATAAATAAAGTAATAAATTACTCAAGCAGCCTAAGTTTGGAAATGGAGCTTCGGGGTGGGCATTAATTCTTTGTCTCCCAGTTTAGGTTCTAAAAAAAATACCCGAGTTCTCCTTGTTGGAGCCCCCTTAGGCTTGCTAGAACCTCAGTCCTAAGCCCATTACAAGCCTATGTGGACCAAGTTAAACTTGAGAGGACACATTCCCTTGTGCCTATACGGAGAATAAATTCACACGAAGACATAAGGTATATGAATCCCAAAGGTTACTTGCTAGGCTTATACGGAGAATAAATTCCCACGAAGGTGTCGCTTTCACCTCCACTTAAAAAAATGGTTTGGAGCTCGGGTATAGAGCCTGAGATGAAAATGTTTAATAAGCTGAAATCATTAAAAAAAGTCAATACAACTATTTATTTGAAAATATAATCAAAGGAAAGTAATAAGGATAGAAAAATTAAATTAAAATTTAAACTTACAATTTTCACTTAAGAAGACAACCGAAAATTAGACTTAGCCTGAATCACTTATCTGTCCCCAACGGAGTCGTGAAGCTGTCGTATCCTTCCTTCGGGTGGGCCCGAAATTGAGCTTCAACTTAAATAAATGGGTTAGAGCCGCAATCGATCATTTATCATTAAAAATAAAAAACTAGGTTGATCAGACACCTCAGTTAATTTTCCTACCTGATCCGCGTCTTACCAAAAAATATGTTGTCTTCATTTCCAGTTGTCTTAATTACGAAAATTGCAAGTTAAATTAGAAGTAAACATTCGATCCAAATTACTTACCTTCAATCAATTTAAAAGTATCCCTAAAAAGTCAAAAAGATGTTAGATTTGTAAAATAAAAATACTAAATTGAACAAAAGAAAAGATAAAGGTTAAATTATAATACTTTAAACATAAAAGAAAAAACATACATACATACATACATGCTGAGAAATAAATGGAAATAAAGTTAACATACTGATAAATAGAAATAAATAGAACAACCACAGATCTCACATATTGAAAACACAAAGTGATAAAAAGATGACGTAAAGAAAAAGGTCAATTAAACTAAAAATAAAAAAAATGACAAATGCAAGATTAAGTACAAACAAAGACAAAAATTAATTAAATTAAAACAAAAATAAAAATAAATAAATAAATATATAAATAAAAATGTCAGATCAAGAACTCATAAAATATAATAACCTTAAAAAATAATTAAATGAAAACGTGAATTAAATAAAGAAAATACCAAATTAAAAAAAGATACAGTGGGTGGTAAATTTAAGAAGAAAACCGGAATTAAAATTGAATTTGAAACACAAAACGAGTTTTGAAAATAACTCAGGGACTAGCTTTGTAATTAACCCCTACCCGTGTGAAAACACGCGGATCCTTAAGGGATCTGGTCGGGTTTTTGGGTCAGCTATAAAGCCCAGAAAACATAAACAAACATCATATTTGTCTTCTCTCCTAAAAACAGATCAAAGGGATCTTCAAACTTTTATCTGGAATGTTCTTTGTGTTCTTCATGAGACGAAGAACATTCAATCGAAACCTAGAATTCGGTCGTACTCCGCCTCACCAGCCGCCATTCATCTGCGGTGAAAAAATTTCTTTTTCTCAACATTCGAAAGCCTTTTCCCTCATCTCTAAAAAAACCCCAACTGTTTTTACAAAACAACCTCGAGGAGGGCTAGATCTACGAAAGATCTTTCACATGCCCCTCCTCCGATCATCGATTTTATCTTTCACGAGGGTTTTTGAGTTAAAAAAAGAAAAAGAAAAATAAACACCAAAAGTCCCAAAACTGAAACCAAAAACCTCAAGAATCGGACCGAGAAAGGTAAAAATAATATATTTTTTATTGATGTTTTTTCTTGAGATTACAAGTGCTTTCCTTGCTTCGATCTTACTTATTTTCTAGATTAACTTTACATGCATTTATAGCCTTAGAAAATCCATGATTTTCAGTTAGTTTAGAGTCCTATTTTGATTGAAATGTGATTATGTTTTTGATTTCCATGATGGCCTCAAAATTTTCGGGACGTGGGTTGTTGTTGCTAGAACGATGACTCTCCAAGAGTCCTCAGGCTGACCAATGGTTCACCCTTGAATGTGTGGTGCTAAAACCCTAAAATCTGTCACATGTAGACCATGTGAATGGTTCAGATCCAATGGATCTGGTGTTGCGACTCTGATATTAAAAGGGTAAAACCCTAAACGAGTATGAGCACGTGGGTGGGTTTGCTTGTTGGGCTCTTAGCTGGGTCGATTTGCTACCCGGTTGGGATCCTTCATACCCCCATTATGGACTTGGACTTGGATCTTGGACTCCCTTTTGGACCGAATAACATAATAGGAAAAAATATAAAATAGAATAGAAATATAATAAATAAAATAAAAACTTAATATAATATAATATAATATAATATAATATAATATAATATAATACTATACAACAATATAATATATAATATATATACAACATGTATCATATTTTCAAAAGCTATATAATAGGTTTTTCAAAAAAATATATGTTATATATGTTTTTGAAAACCGTTTTAAAAACTATATATATATATATATTCAAAAAGGTTTTCAAAATAATATATTATATATATGTTTTCGAAAAATGTTTTCAAAATTATATATTATATATATTTTCAAAAAAGCATTTTCAAAAACTATATATATATATATATATATATATATATATATATATATATATTTTATATCTATATATATATTTTCAAAAAAAATGCTTTCAAAACTATGTTTTCAAAAAACTATGTATAATATATAGTATATGTATAAACCCTGGACGAAAATGAGTGACTACAATTATAAAACTGGATTTTGCGAATGGTAGAAATAAGACATGAGAAGGAAAAAAGTAACAGTGATGGAACAAAGTCTGAGGAGGAAATTTAGTATTTCAGGAGTAAATTAGCGGGTAATAGGTATGAATGTTCTAGAATTGATTTAAAAGTATTTTAGTACAACAGGTGCCTCGCCTATAAAAGACATGTGCTTTCGCCTTACACTTAGGTTTCAGGGACCTTTTAACTCACGATCCGGCTCTTTTTAAAACTAAAGATTGTACCAGCGTCTTTGATTGCACTTATTATTTTGACTTGATTTGAGATGTTATGGTAAATGACAACCTCAAGTTATTTAAGCATTAAAACTTGCTTCTCATGCTCATCAAGCTTCCCGTGTTATTACAACATAAAAAAAAGAATCGATCAATATAAAAATTTTAATCTTCAAGAATCAAACTACTTGAGTAATCAAAGAGATAATTGGTATGCTTAGAAATTTCAAATTCGAGCACATTATATGTTAAGGGTGTTTGAGTGTTCATTGTTAAATGGATTGAGAGTATTCGAACAAATATTACTTTGTAATCACCCTTAGATTAATAAAATTTTTTTAGAGAAAAGATGAATTGATGAGAAGATAATGAATATGTGAGAAGATAAATGAGTGATATAAAGAAAATAATCAATTTTAGAGAAAAGATGAATTGATGAGATTTTAGAAAAAGATAAATATTATTTTTTTAATATAGTTTTAAAACTTTTTTTAATTATAATGTTAAAATAGTTAAAATAATTTTTTTATTAACTTGGGGTAAGTATAAGAATATATATCTTTTTATGGTGTTCAAACTCGGGTCCATAAGAAATATTAACAATTCATTTACCACGGAGGTTATTTGATTCATGTTGTTAAAATATTTTTAAATTTTATCAATTTTTTATTATATATAATTTATTTATTTATTTATCTGATCTAAAATTTAATAAAACAATATCTACCTAGAATAATTGAATTATTTTTTTTTTACTATACATAAAGAGTAAATATAATATTGTTTACTTAATTTAAGGATAATCTGTCCCACGTATAAGATTTTGCCGCCTTTTTCATATTTACAAAGAAGGGCAGAGCGGTTGTGATGATCCGGTTTCCCTCCAAGTTGCAGTATAAATAAGGGTTTACCCAAAACCTAAATCCCATCTCTGTAATCTCTTCACTCTTCAATGGCTTTCTGGGGTTAGTTTCTTATACTATTTGCTCTCTTTTTCTTCATGGTTTCTTTTTCTTTTTCTTGTAAAAGTGAAGCTACGGTTAACATTTTCCAGGAACCGAAGTGAAACCTGGGAAGTCCTTTACTCATGCACCTCTCTATGGAAGGCTTCATATATCCCAGTTACTTATTTTTAAACTTTTCTATTTTCCCTTATCTGTTGTGTTTAATGCGTGCTTTTCAATTATCCGATATCAAAATATTTGAAAAAATGGGCATAAATATGTTTGTCAGGCGACATTAGGAATGGGTAGTGAAGTACAGAAAAGCGTAGTTAAGTGTAATGTTGGACATAGTAAGCCGGTATTTCTGTGTAGTTTGTTTCCTGATAAGGCAGAGTGTTGTCAACTCAATTTGGAATTCGAGGAATCTGTTGAAGTCGTTTTCTCCGTTATTGGCCCTCGAGCTGTTCATTTTACTGGTTACTATCTGGGCTCTTCTTCCCTTGATCGTCATCACAGTGATGGATCGTATCCTCTTGTTTTTAAGTTTTTGAATTTACTTCGTGTTACTGGGTTCTTTCCTGTTGTTTCGCTTCACTATGTTGCTTAGAGAACCCTATGGAGAAGATATTGCAGACACCGAAACAGAACGGACCAAGAGTAGTGCAAAAAGTGAGTATGGTGGTAGTTTTATTGACGATGATGATGATCCACAAGTCTTCTCATCTTCTGAAGAATCTCCTGCTGGGTTTGGATGTATGTCTCACCACACCTCTTAAATGGAAATTTTGACCATTTGTCCATTAAATTTAGCCTTTTTTTGTTACAAGGGAACAATAATCGACATGTTTTCTGGTTAGATTACATCTGAAATTATTTTCTTTCTAATTTAAATGTCTTTTTTTTTGGTGTATGAATTCAGCAAATGAAGAAATGAGGGGCTTAAAGTTTAAGGGTCGCATAGGAAAGCGTAGGAGGCTTAGGAAAAAGTACCAGAAAAGTGAATCTGATAATGGAAGTTCTCAGCAAAAGGATTTCGCCAATGGTGTTTCTCCTAGGGAACTATTTGACAGTGAAACTGAAAATACTTTGCCTATTTCCTTACTGTTTTCAGGAAAATGCGCATAAAGAGCAGAAAAGACGATATAGGGGGAGAATCTAGGAAAGAAACTGGTAACCATAACAACAATGAGATTGAAGATAATGCTACCATGTTAGAAGGAATTAATGGTGTTCAACTTGAATGGTACGATTGCTGTATTTCTTTGACAAGAACAATAATGAACTTAAATTCAATAGCTAAGTTAACCATATTGAGAAGAGGATCTGCGGGTGCAAACTATCATCTGTTTAACATATGGCTGTTTGCTTCTTCAATCATTGTTTTCGAATTACATTTGATTGTGTTGTACTTTTTTCTATTCCCTCTTGCTTGCAGTAAATCAGGGATTAGGAATGTAGATAAGCTTGAAGAGCTGGTAAGGGAGGAAAGATTACCGGAAGCTGATCATTGTGTGGTTGAAAAAGTAATATTGGAGCAAAATGACCAAAATCAAAAGCTGTCCAGTAATGAGTCCGTGATATACTCTCTTTAGAGAATTATATGTTGCATGAAATCTGTGCTTCCATGTTTGTTGACTTAGTTGTGTCATTTGTAGTAATTGTCTTGTTAGTAACAACTGCTATCTGATATACTGCAGGATATGTCAATCTGATAATCCGTTGTTGACACCCAGTGAAGTGGGTACTGTCGATGGAGCTAAGCTAATTCGGAAAAGAAAGGAACAATTTGAAGACAATGATACCAAAGGGGGCGAGGTCTCCAAAAATGGTTCGAATTTAAATCCCGTGATCAAGGATGTACTTATGGAGGATAAGGAAACCCAAACTCAAGTTAATGATAAGTAGGTGTTTCTCTTTCCACAATTTCAGTCTTAAATGTGTGATGTTCACTTTGTTTTTCTTTTCTAGAAGTCAATCTAAGAAGAGGAAAAAGAAGAAAAGGTGCAAGGATGAGGGAGAGGTGGATGGTACGAAGATGAAACCACCAGTCCTTAAAAGGGAGCAATCTGTTGACTTGAATGACAAAAATAGTAATGACCGGGAAATTCAGCTGTCGAATGGAATTATGATTGAAGAGTTAGAAAAGGGAAAACCAAATGGGAAAATAGCTTCTCTTGTTAAAAAGGCATGTAGTATTTTATCCCTGGGGTTTCATTGGATGAAAGGAATTGGTATTTTTTCCCCTTTGGTGCTAAACTATTCACAAAGTTTTGTTGCTGTCAGGTCCGTGTCCATTAAAGTTGAAGAACAGCGGGGAAGTAATTGATTCAAGTGCTGACAAAGGTCACTTAACGTTCCGGCTAGGTAACATCTTTTTCTTTAATCATGCTCTGTAAATATATTGTAGTGTGTGTTCAATGTTTAGTTTTTATCAAATTAGATTCTTCTGCAAATATATTTGGTTTTAAACCTTTTGAGTTGGACTTGTATCTTTGTTTCTATCACAGTTGAGGAACAAGTTCAAGAGACATGGAAGGTTGGCATTGATGGTATGAATTTTTGTCTTTTGAAGTTGCTTATCACTAAGTTATTGGGGTTTGAATTATATATGTAATGAGTTAGATAATGATGATTGGTAGGCATGCAAGTTGGTGGCAAACGTAGACTCACAGTTCCACCATGGGTGAGGTATGTGAAAATACTAATCCAAGCTCGTCTCTGTAATTTTGTATGGTCTTGAGTTTGGTTTGTGTTGCAGATGTACAAAGGAAGGAACAAGTGAGAGTATTCCACCAAACCCGTGGCTTGTTTCTGAATTTGAATTGGTTTAAGTCTGGTAGCTTCATACGCCAGTCTTGTTGAGGCATACATCTCAATGCTGGGTACAGGACCTTTTGGTTTTAGGCTTAGATTTTATATTGCGTTGTTTAGAAATGGTTTAAACAATAAATAAAAGAGTTTGAAAGCCATCAGATTTGAGGTGACCTTGCAAACTCAAATGCTAAATATGAATTATATTGATGTATTTTGTTAATATAAATAATATTTTAATTTTTATTATTTAACATAATGATATCGATATATTAATCTTTATAAATATAATTTAAATATTTTTAATGATTTATAAATATTTCTTTAATATTTCTAATTATCTTAACATTAATATTATTTTGTTACTTTGTTATTTAATTTATATACGTATTTTTTACATATATATTTATATTCGTTTAATGTCCTTTTGGTAGTTATGTTCTATCTTCATCTCATCTTTCTCATTGCAAATGAATTCAAACGCTTATCAGATTATTGATTTTAATATCGTTACAATGTTCAACCCCAACAGTATAATATTAATTTTACTATCGTTACTGTTTTTAACTATATTCGAATCAATCTTGCTATCCATCCAAACCGACCCTTCACTATAGCAAAATTGAGTTTTACCGGCGTTTTTTAGTCCTATAGCGGCGTTTTAAGCGCCGCTAAAAGCATTTGCGGCGATAGGAAAAACGCCGCAAGAAGCGCCGGTAATACCAGCGCCGCTAAAGTTAGCAGTGTTTGAGAACAAAAAACACCGCAATAGGTCAAGATCTATAGTGGCGTTTTTGAAACAAACACCGCCAAAGGTCAATATCTATAGTAGTGTTTTTGGAACAAATGCCGCAAAAGGTAGATATTTATAGCGGCGATTTTGCAACAAATGCCAGGTCAGATCTATAGCGGCATTCTTGTAACAAACACCGCAAAAGGTCAGATCTATAGTGGCGTTTTTGAAACAAACACCGCTAATTATCTTTCTTTAGCTAAGATGATTTTGCATATTTCATTTTTGCTCTACATCACCTAAATTTAATAACATCTAGCTTTATCTAATTAACAACAACCATACATTTTAATAAAGACACAAGTTATGAAGAAAAATACTTAACAACAAAATAAATTAAAATTTATAAATATTAAAAATAAATGTATTGTAGTTTTACATTTTAGATTAGGTAATTCACTCTCCCAAAGAGAAAGTATGCATTTGAAACAGAAGATTTGGCAATTATATCAACATAATATATAAAATTAGTTATGAATGATTCCTATACACAGCTAAAGAGCTAAACAATCATGCTTCCAGAAAACACTTGAAGACAAAGATTATGCATGCTGGTAATAGATTACCAGGCGAGTACTCCAGTAGCACCAAGGAGCAGAAATATTGACGACCAAAATTGGATAGCTGCAAGAAAAACCATTGAAAACAAGTAAATAGAGGTATCACCAACAGTGGCATTTAACAAAGAAAGCACCAAAGCTGGAAACATAACATATAAATTAAGTGGTTTGCAATCTTTGCATTCAACTTATTTGCAATTTTGTCAAAGTTATCACTATTCAGTGGTATGGAACCCTGAACAACTTCATCATCAACTTCCTTTTCATGCTAAATGACTTGTGGAACCGGTTCTGAACAATACTCAACACCCGTGAGCCTTAAATCTGGATCTATAGTAAACTTTCGAATTGTTTTTGTTATATTCAATATGTTCTGTTAACAGAATGCATAAAATTAGTCATTTGGACCAGAGTTCACATGTTAAAATGCCACCACGAAAATACACACAGACAACATGTTAAAATGCCACCATTAAAATATTAACCCATGCAATTATTGTAATTCAGAATTCCTTCCCTGCAAGAACCATAACCCATGTAATTATTGTAAGAACAATGCTTCAGTGATAAAAAAACCCAAGGGTTGAAACAGAAAGTGCTTTCCATCCAACTTACACTGCCAAATCCTCATCGAAGAGAGGTGTTTGTTTAATGGCTGGTATCGGCTTGGCTGTATCCCACAGTTCACGCCATAAATTACCTAAAACGTATAAAATTCAAATATCAGAATCAACCATAGAAATTTCCTAGCAAGTGAAACTACCCGTAGGTTAAGAATGTCAAACAAATACTTCAATAGGTAAAAACCCTCCACCTAGAAATTTTTCAGAATTCATTCTCCTAAAACGAGTTACATACGAACATAATACAAGTTCATGGAAATATACGAATATTGTGAATGAAATGAATCAATGTTCATATGTCAAAAGTAAAAACTGACCAAAAAGAAGCTAAATTACAACAAACTTAATCTAAGTAGAAGAGACTGGGATAAAGAGAAAAACCTTCTTTTTTCATTCGGCAACTTAGTTGACCTCTTGTAACTGAAGAGTTAACCTCATCGCTCGGCTCAGCTTCAGTTCAATCAGGAGGAGAGATCCATCATAAAAAAGGTGAATGTTAAAGACAAACACATCTCCAAACAAAAGCAAATGTCCTATCAGTCACATAAAGAACCTGCCTGTATCAAACAAATGATGAATCAAAGCAAGCACACTCGCATCATCACCGAATCCAGATGCAAGTTTATTCTCTTTATCTCGAAGAACCAATGACTTTACTACAGAGAAGGTCAGGCCTGTCCTTTCCTTCACGGGTGAAGAATATCTAGAAGATGCCAAAAGATCTTTCATAGATTTAAAATTACTTCCAGCCCTGGAACCAAAAGGCAAGCACAAAAAGATAAGAACACCATACACAAGTTGAATATGACAATTAAATAGATCACACACTTGACCACTTAAATTGATCTCATAAGCAAGAAATACTTTGTATCAAAAGATTAAATAGTATGGCAAAGCAGTGTTAATGGTCTAGAAAGTAAATTCCAATAAAGGTAGCAATTTACAAATCAACATATTTCATGAGGCATCAAATGAATTTCAATTTCAGCAATAGCAGAAAACAAACAACTGAAGTCAATAATCGAAAGACTTACTCAACGGCTAAAGCTAATTGGTTGATAATAGATGTTGGAGGAAAGTTATTGGTGTCCACGGTATTTAAAATGTCTATAGAGGGAATTGCTTCTAAAGCTTGTAGGACAACAATCTCATTAAGAAATCCATTCATTTGAATTTTATTAGAATAGAAATAAGACATTTTAATTCTCATTACAACAACTCTCACTTGCAGGTGAGCAAAAATAAATAGAATCATAAATGTACCTTTGATTTCTTATCGTTCTTTACTTTTAGAAAGTATAAGTTTTCATCATAGAATGCAATAACCATGGTTGAATTTTCAACTTTCTCTGAATCTTCAACTCCTTTTCTCCCTAGCCGTATATTCTTGAATCTTTCCTGCCATTCTTGTTTGATCCCCAAATTTGCAGGCATCCACTTTGAATGCTTTATCATATTAAGTACTCTGCAGAATGTTGAAGCCTAGTTTGGTAGCTGGAAAAGTGAAGGGAAACTAAATAGCATACAAATTGCAAATCCTCCAATTCAAGTCTAAGCAAACTAAGCTAAACTCTACGACTTTTTTACTAAAATAAGTCAAACATATTTCTAAACTTTACTTCATTTTCTCAGCAGCCAAAAACGGTTCCAAGAATCGTCTAAAGATAGAAATAATAATAACGAAAATAGTCTAATCCTACATTTTAGCTTAAAAAGAAAGACACATTTCAGTTCCAAAGTTCAACAAAAATTTACCTTAGAATCGTCTTCTCTCGTCGGAGATTCATTTTTGAATTCATTCGGATATGATAATTCACAATCTTCACCAAACGAATAACAACCAAACAAGATAAAAAAAATCTCCGTCACTAATATCTAATAACAATATCATAAAGACCGGAAAATGATATAAGGAATCTAATATCTAATAACAATATCATAAAGACCGGAAAATGATAAAAAGAATCGAAAAATAGAAAAACAGAAAAATAATAACAAAAAAATTTTGCAATAGATATTTAAAACCAAAAATATAGAGTTCAATTTTACCTAGATCGAATTTCAAATAATTAAGAACTCTCTCGACTTTGGCAGCTGCGGAGTGGAGAGCGATTCTTGCTCTGGAGTGATAGGGAAGCGGTGGCGGATTGATGAACGTTGCTCTTATTGAAGAATCAAACCTAGAAAGCTCTAGACTCGATGAAGAACAAATGTGACGAATATGGGAAGGTGGCAGCAGTCGCTAGGATTGTTTAGGGTTTCTTTTATGTACTGGAATCAAGACAACACGATTAGAATAAAATAAACAAAAGATAAATAAATGAAAGATGAAATAAGATAATAAAGAAATCAAAAGATCTCCCTTATGAAGGTGAACGGTAAAGATGATTGATGGTGCGGATGGATTTGTGGAAAAATAGATGGATAAGTGTCCTATCGAGCCCTCCAGGTGGCGGTAGCAAGTAGGGTTCTTTTATGTGCTGGAATCAAGACAACACGATAAGAATAAAATAAACAAAAGATATATAAATGAAAGATGAAATAAGATAATAAAGAAATCAAAAGATCTCCCTTATGAAGGTGAACGGTAAAGATGATTGATGGCATGGATGGATTTGTGGAAAAATAGATGGATAAGTGTCCTATCGAGCCCTCCTAGTCGCAATGAAAAGGCAAACACGATAAATGGCTCTAACCAACCCTCCTAGTCGCGATGAAAATGCAAATTGGAGTGTGAAGATTAATCTCCCTCACAAGAACTTGAAAGAACTCCAGGAGAAGAAGCTTCGAAGGCACAAGGCAATCAGCACTTGCAAAAACGAACTCTCGTTGTATTATTAATCAAAGAAATCTGATTTACAAAGTTGAATGAAGCCTCCTTTATATAGGGGCTGAATTCTAAAGGTCCTAAATAACTAAAGAATAAATATTAATAAACTAAACATGTTTTAACCCTAATTCCTATAAAATAATAATAACTAAAAATATTGTTTTAACCCAACCTTAATTCCTAATAAAATAATAAATCTGATCCTAAAAGATAATTAATCATCCTATATTAAATTATATTACAAATAATCAATATAAATATTGAAAATTCGTAATATTTACAAAATAACGTATTAATCCCGTATAGGATTTCCTGCATGCACCGTCTTCAGTAAAATGACCATATCTTGAGTTCCCGATATCGGATTGATGCGATTCAAGAACCGTTAGAAAGATAAGAGACAGACGGTTGTATCTCCAGAAGACATACCGACCAAATAATATCAGGATCCCATTCAAAAAGTCGTCTCAAGTGCGCTGCTGTTCTGATCTTCTTTTCCAAAGCTTGGACGAGTGGATCATTTGGAAGAGTTATTACTTCTTCCTTTGATGTGAACCTTGTGATGCATGTATCATCCTCCCTTTCTTCAAAAATATTCGACCTCGAATCTAAAACATTAAAGGGAGCAACATTAGAATAGTTTAATAATTCATTCACATTATGCTTACCGAATAGATATGCTTTGAATCTTCGAGACTTTGTTCTTCTAATAGGTTCGAGTAGAAACATTAGTCCAAAGAAGCATGTATTATGGACTCTGGTGCATGTATCATTCCCCCACTCCTCAAAAGGATTCGTCCTCGAATCTGAAAATCCAAAAGAAAGAGAATTAGATGTGTTGAAATAAAAACTTGTGAAACATTTACCAGGATCAATGTGATGTGTCTTTATGCATTTTAGTCGAGGTTTCTTCTTTGTAGGAACTGATTTCTTGTAGTCTTGAAATCCTCTTTTGCATACAAGTCTTGTAATCTGATGTTTTGGTTGAATTTCAACATGGCGCCAGTCACTGTTGGCTTTCTGTATGATTATTTCAGATAATTTCTCCATGGTTTTATTCGTGTGTGGCGAGAATGAGTGTTTAAAAACCATGTCAACTGGTTTGTTAACATAATCCCTTAAGTCTCCTATGTGTGGTTCATGAATTAATGATTCCCATGAGGAGATTTGTGGACTGTATAACCTGTTTAGTTGGCAAGGAAACTCATATACAAGATAAAGCTCATTAAAAGCACTTTTAAATGTATGGGTAGAAATATCAGAAATATCCGAGTTATCGTGATATACATCTTTGATATGTTCAATTCTCGGAATAGAAGTATGAGTTTGATAGGTAAGAGTATACCTTCGTGGTAGTGTATCGTCTACTGTGTTTTGCTTACCTCGGTATGTTACGCACTTAAAGGAGTTGTGTTTAGTATGGATGACAACTTCACGAGCCTTACCTTTGGACTCTCGTAAATCGTGACTCTTCATTGGTATGGCATAGTGATTAGGGCTTTCAGGTGGTAACCCGTCAGGAGGGTCACCTAGCACTATTCGACAACTCTTGGCGATGGAAGATGGTGTGGTCCAGTCTCGTGTTGCTTTTACTTTCTCATCATTTACATGGATTCTCTGTGCATGAACTATAAAGCCTGAAGAGTTGTTCAAATCATATTTCGTCATTATGATGGCGTCACGACTAAGGCTTTCCTGGATGTAGCCTTTTTGTAACAAATCCAACTCTTTGGTTTCTTCGAGATTGTATGTTTGACGAGGTATGATGGAACCTTGAATTAGATTGATTTAGCATTGTTTTCCTCTTTTCAGTGGTAATTCGTTAGGTAGATCACCTAACACTTCTCGAAAATCCTGTAAAAGAGATGAAAACACACTAGGCAAATCCTTGTTAATGTTAGAAATCGAAACAATTGATTCCCTAAAGCGAACAAGGATGAAAGGCTGTTTGTAAAGAAGGTTCTCTCTCAATTCTTTTGTGCTCACACGTAGATTTTGAGTCACTCTTTTCTTCTCACAATTAGGTTCACTCACCTCCCATGGGTCATTATACTTTTGGCTTTTGTAACTAGTGACCTCTTTTTCTTTTGCCTCTTTCTCAACTTTTTCTTTTTTGATTTCCCTACCTCCTCACAAATTTGATCTTTAGGGGCTAGAAGTGTGTCATTCTTTGCTGGTCGTTCTTTCTCATTGTCAGGTTTGTCATCTCTTGGCTTTTTCAGAGAAGATGGAGTAGAAGATGAGGAAGGATTTGAAGGATTACCTTGGTAAGAGGATGAAGTACCTTGGTAATGTTCACTGATTCGAGATCTCCTTTGGATTTGTGCTTCGATTGTCATTGCTTTCTTTAGTGTATCTTCAAGGTTTTCGTACCCTTGTAGATCAAGAAGATCAGTGATGTTTGAGTTTAAGCCGACGACGAATCTTGATACGGTGACTTCTTCTTTTTCGGTTATGTTAGCCCTATTGAGTAAGGACTGCATCTCCTTGTAGTAATCTTCAACTGAACTTCTACCTTGTCGAAGTCGGTGTAGTCGTTGTTTAACTTCTCGTGTATAATGTGTCGGTAGGAATCGGTTCCTCATGGTTTGTTTGAGGTCGGTCCAAGAAGTGATTGTTGGAATTTGGAAGTTCTGGATCTTT